AAAAGTCTAATTAATTGAAAAATGTCTGTCACCCCTAATTATGCAAGACATGTCTTACTCCATCACTACCCATTAAGACCAGCTGGCCATTGACATAAACAGAAAATACATATATGACAGCATGTCAAAATTAAGTGTTAGGGCTGGAACCTCTGAATAAGTAATTTACTTTGGCCTACATTAGCCCTGCATAACACAGAATATGCAATGAATAGATAGAAACCAATGTTGAATAAGTAATGTGACCTTTTACACAACATTTCTGAATGAGGAGGGAGCAATACAGCACAACATAACTGATACTGTAGGATTGTGTGCCTTTGATGGACACGGTAGACACAACAAAGAAGGACACAGGCAAGGCAGAAAGACCAGCGTGAGGACGCAATTCAGCTCTTCAAAGGCATGAAGAACACAAAAGAACAGTCAAACTAGAAATCTTTCAGATAAAGAGCCTGTCTTGGAGTCTGTGCGTTCTCCCGTGGGTTCGCACTCCAGCTCGCTTGAATTGTGGGCGCCCCTCTTTATTATAACCCCGCACGAGTTACTGCCGTTCGCCAGTGGACGCACAGAATCTGAAAGGGACCTATGCGTTCTTCCCAGGGCACTATGTTTGGAAAGAACTGGACGGATATCTTGGAACCATTTGTTCCTCTCCGCCCTCCCGCTATTGTGTCACGCTCCATCTTCGCCCACCCTTAAATGGGAACGCGGCGTACTGACAAATATTTATTTCGGCGATTATAAACTGGACCAAGACGAGAGGAGAGAGTAGGAATACTTTTATGTGGGAAGTACGCCTCCCCAAAACCATGTGGATAATTGCGACCCTTGATGCACGGAGCGCTCAACAGGGAGACGGGAGAATTGAAAACAATAAGATATTTAGGCCTACGGTTGGAAATCTCTGCCGATGAGGAACAGCAAGAAAAGGGCATTTGGTAGAGAAGAAGTAAGTGCGAAACCCACTCATTTTGAAATTCAGACGCATGATAAGTAGCCTAGGCTAGACTACAGTAGCCTACGGTGGGCTGATATTCAAATCGCATGTTGCTTGACACACTCCCACCAGCTGGCCAGTCTACCGTGCCTTTTTCAGATCGTTTAATATTATTCAGAAAACCGTTGCTTTGGAGGAAAAGACCATGCCCAGGTACAGTGAAACAATTGGTGGTGTCCTTTCGCGTGTCCAGTGTTTGGTGTTGTTCTACTGTTTAGTTTAGTTTTGACAATGATAAAATCTGGGTTATTCGAGCTTATTCGATTTTAACCATATGCAATAGAGACAGTTATCCGATTAAAAACGATTCAAACGCAAAACCACGTGGATAGTTAGTTGTGCACAACGGACGTCATTTGGGTGCTTTTCTAAAATCTTCATTAAACGCATCAAGCTACCATATGCATGAATGGGAAACAATTATAACAAGTAGATAATTCATCTTATTCACGAGATAATAGCCTACAGTATAGGCTACAATCGCCTAGAGACGTTTTGTTTGTTCTTTTGAAAAACATTGTCATTATGTAGTAATACAGACTCGTAACGCTTGTTATCGGTTGGTCTGCCTTGTGTGAAACTGAGGATGTTTAATTTATCAAGAGATTAAAAATGCTTGGGCTCTTTTGTTAATAATGGCAAAACCACATTTCATGCACAAGACAGCTGATTTCAATCTTTCCTTTTAATTTATTTTTCAAATGTTTTATTTTTTGACAATACAGCATGCCTAGGTCCTTTTCTGTCACGAATTACAGAGATATGTTCCTTCTTGCTTCAGAAATGGAGCAAGTTTATCTTTGGTAATGTCCTTGTGATTAATTTTATAATATGGTAAATGCATTTGTTTATGTACATTGTTCCATTGACATAATGGGGCAATCCTTAGTTGCTACAACCATTTTTGGACTTATAAATTAATGATATACTCATTGACTATATACATGCCTCATGAGCTTAGTCCAACTGTCATACTCCATCAGAACCCAAAATATAGGTCTAAACTTGTTTTACTCCAATGTTTGTAAACAATCTAAATCTAAACAACCACTGTATAGCCTAAAAACATGGTTAAAACTATAATTTTGATATCATTGATGGTCAATCCTTGCATCCATAGCGTAGTCTATGGATTTGAGAGTGGTTGCATTTCTCTAGCCCCATCCCTCAGCTTTTTATTGAAACTGTAGCGGGGTGTGGATGTTAATGTTTCGATTAAGGGTTGACACTTTCAGGGATGGGGAATGGCATAGATGTGAATAACCTGGAAATTATACTAATTGTAAGTCGCTCTGGATAAAAGCGTCTGCTAAATTACAAAAAAAATCTAATGTAAAATGTACTCCTAGCAAAGCAATGCCATTAAAACATTGATTTTCTATTGTCATTAAGATCCAACAATCCTTACCAGTTGTAGCTGCTTTTAGCAACACTAATATTTACACACTAGCATTGCTAGGAATTAGCTTGCAAAAAAACAGGATAGTCACCCAGAAGTTAAAGGTAGACTCAGTGAAATGACGTTGCCATGAGTAGCACCCCGAGATGCAAGACTTCACTCTCACACAGTCCCACACAGTACCTGCGCATGTGCACAGGTTCGCTTCACGCTGTTCAGTGTGGTAGCCAGGGCACCAAAACAGTGGAGAAGTTGAGCCTGGCGCTTCAACGCTCTTAATTGCTGCGGAAATGTACCCACTATACTGTGTACTTTCTGCATCTACGTCATATCGCTGAGTCTACCTTTAAATACAATTATATTTCAACTTACTCTGCCAATTGTCCGATTGTCAGTAGGGTTGGTCCTTATGCAGGGGGAAAATTGAGAAAGAACATCTAATAGAACATACTGTAAATAGAGAGTAATGGTGCTTTTTTTGTAGGCACTAACTCCGCCATGGTTGGTTGGACAAAGCCTATGGAAAAATGAATGGAGTTTTTGGAGAGTTTTTGGATAACCTCTGAAAATAAGGTCTGTGGTAAACATAGGCTTAGGAGATCTTATACGTTTTGATCTATGAGATAATCTTCATCAGCTAACGTCACTTTTTGTGAATTTTGAAGCATTTATGTAATAAAAAAAAGCACACAGGCTTCATAATTCATGAAGGTAATGTTAACTGACTGATATTATCTCATTATCTCCCCTGTAGCTCAGTTGGTAGAGCATGGCGCTTGCAACGCCAGGGTTGTGGGTTTGTTTCCCACAGGGGGCCAGTATGAAAAATTTATGCACTCACTAACTGTAAGTCGCTCTGGATAAGAGCGTCTGCTAAATGACTAAAATGTAAATAGAGCAAAACATATATGATCTCATAAGCCTGTGTTAACCACAGACTTGATTTTCGGCATTTATCCCAAAACCCTATTCTTTCCCCATTAATTTTCCCCATAGGAATGGCTGAACCAACCAGCGGTAACTAATTTCCAGGTTTTAGGATTACAAGCTGGCGAACTCTATTAAACAGACTTTCCAAACGTGGGTCTGTTGTAGACCCACTTCCTCTCTGCTTACCTAATTGTAAGGGTTGGGGTGAGGTGTGACCCAGGTGCGGTGCAGGATATACAGTAGGCAGTAAGCAGAGATGGTGAAACAAGGATCTTTACTGGTGGTCCCAAAATACAAAATAACGGACTTATCACAATAAAAGAAAGGCGGAGCAAATAAGTCTCCAAAAACCGTCTGACAGCCAAAATACAAAATACTACCTAAGACTGAAACAAATAACGAAACAGGGAGAACACTTCTCAAGTACCTGTACATAGATCTCCGATCAGACACTGAGTAGTACTGCTGGACATAGAGAAACTAGCAGAGAAAACTGAACAAGGGAACACAGGGAAGTGAGGGCATAAATACACGGGTGAACCAATAGACACAGGTGACACCAATAGGATGATGATGATTAGTCCCGACTGAGTGAGGAGGGCCTATGGTTGTCGGAGGATGACACCTAGTGGGTCGTTCTGGAACTGCGACCCCCTCCTGTAACACCTAATGTCAAAATAAAATTCCTGCATGTGCGCCATACCTGCACAAAAAAAAGCAAAAACGTATTTTGATATGAGGTAAGCAAAGAGGAACTGGCCTCACTGAGGAAATGCATGGGTCTACAACAGACCCAAGTTTGGAAATTCTGTTTAATTATACGTTCCATTAGATGTTTTTTTCTCAAGTTCCCCCTTGCATAAGGACCAAGCCTACAAACAATCGACAGAGTAAGTTTAAACTGAATTTTATTTAACTTCTGGCTTCCGGCGGACTATTGCGTTTTCTTGCAAGCTAATTCCCAGCAACGCTAATGTGTAAATACTAGGATTGCTAAAGGCAGCTATACCAGTTGATGTACTAGCTGGATATCAATGACACAACTGGGATTATCTTCGTTGACAGGTCTAATGTTCTAAGGTGCAACTCACAGGTAGGCTAGTAGATGCAGGAAAGAGAGTAGCCTAGCCTAAAAAGTTACAACTTGTAAAAACTGATGTAAGATAGTGAAATAATACAACTAGTGCATAACCAGACTTTGTTACTAGGGCTATTAAAACAATTGAGAGAAAATAAAACCGGAGGCCGTAAAATAATTGTTAAATCAAGGTCGTGAACATCGAACAACAAGCAGTCGTCCTTCAACCGGAATTCACGTGATTCACGTCACCTGTCTTGTGAGATATCCTCCTGCATCTGCTTTCATGTCTGAGTACTGCTAAGGTCATAGATGATTGCAATTTGGTCCAAATATGGTTTAAGTAGCCTACATTATCACATTTATCTTATGATTAGTTCCATCACCATAATGTAATAATGCTGTTGTTGCATCTTTAGCTAAGGCTTAACACAACATATTGAACTTTCATTTACCACTTTATCAGTAAAATGAAGTAAACCTTTTCATTAGCGAGATGTGTTTACAAGAGAGGCCATAACAAAGTGATCGATGACCAGTGATTATTGACATCCAAGTTAACAGCCAATGGAAATTATTCCGCTCTTACAGTGGCCCCACCTGATCTCCTTGACCCAAAGTCTGCCGCTCACAACTCCAAGCCCCGCCTCTCCTTCTCGGCTGCCAAGCCGGTGGTCCTGAACTCCCCAGAGGACGAGTACGACACCTCACGCTTCACCGTCATGAGGTGGAAGACAGTATCAGTCATCTTCTTCCTGGTGGTGCTCTACCTCATTGTGGGAGCCCTGGTGTTCCGGGCGCTGGAGCAGCCCCACGAGAGCCAACAGAAGCTGGCCATCCTGGCCGAGAAACTGGACTTCCTGTCGCTGCACACCTGTGTGAACTCCTCCGAACTCGAGGACCTTGTCAAGGTGGGTCCAGACTCTACATCCTGTCCACAGAGTTACTATGTAGGCTAAAGTTATAGTGGGAAAAACACTAGATTATTTCCTGGGAGAAATGCCCCTAGCTGATGTGCTAGTGTTTACATACAGTAATGAATGATAATGGATTACATTTACAGTGTATGTTGGTTTTTGCTGGAGTGTAATTGAGGGAAAAGCCTTACCCCTATAGTGGAACACCCTAGCCGAAGTGATCACTTGCTAGTGTCTATCCATAATAGAGATCACTGACAAAATCTCCCACTACTACCAATGCTGTGGCACCCACCTGGCTGGCTACCATGGCTTATCACTCTGGGGTAATAGATACCGTGCTGATGTGAACGCCTGCTAGTGTTTGAGTACAGGAATAATGGCATTAATATTTGAGCCTGTGCTGTGTTTCCTGCTAGATTTTGTTTTGTAGACGGAGCATAAAAGCACACTCAACACAACAGCTGGGGGCTTGTGACACCAAAATAACTTTCAACTCAACTTCATTGAAGCCAAACTGTTTGAGGCTTGAATGGGGGTGGGGAGTTAGCCTCGTTCGAACCATCCTGATCTCGCAAGCTTGCGAGATCAGGATTGTTTGTATGAGGGGAGTAGGAGGTAAGGAACAGACTTAGCTCTCGCCCGGCTGCCCGCCTAAGCCTCCCTAAGGGGGAAACACCGCAGCAATGGTGGCTCGTTCCATTAGTAGCCATTAGTCAGCTGTTGCACCACTCCAGTAGGGCCTTCAGTGAGGTTAGTGCAAGGCACTAACTGGCTACTCAGATGATTTATTAATACACACACACACTGCTCTATCTCACACACTTAGTCCCGCCACTTTCACACACCTCTCTTTAATATGCACAGCTTTCATACACACACTCTCACTATCACTCTCACTCTCACTCTCACTATCACTCTCACTCACACTCTCACTTTCACTTTCACTCTCACTCTCACTCTCACTCACACACACACCGTTTACCAAGCTCTCTGTGTTCCAGAGCCCCCGGCTCTCCACCTCGCTGGATGAATGAACAAAGACGTTCCCTCGAAGGGAGTAATTAAAAGCGTGTTTGTTATTGAAAGTCCGGCCGCGGGGAGATTCCAGCACAGCGGCACAAGGATGAAGGCACATTTGTTAACGCCAACAGAAAGGCCTTCCATTGTGGGCCTCTTCTTATCCCCATCTTATGATTCCACAGGGTCAGATTGAGAACAACTATGGAAGTGAATGCTAAAACAGTGCATTAATATGTGCATCAATATCCCTGCCTGCCTTTGCTGGGAGACAGATAGGAGACAGACATCCAGAGAGATGGAGCCAGCAGGCCTATCAGAGTAGATGCTATGCTAAATGGAACCCAGAAGAGTTCTACCTGGAACTAAAAAGGGTTCTTACTTATTATTATGCCGATTTTAACATCACACTATAACACCGCTCTTATCACATTCAACAGTCACAGGCTGGGTTGGCCAGAAGTTCATGTAAAGTTTTGTCTCCCCTTCACTCACAGTGATGAATTGAAGTGGACAGCGCCTTGACTTTGCACCAACCCAGTTGCTGCTCTACTGAAAGTCACTGGGGTAGTAGTAGCTGGGTCGATCCACCAATTCAGTGACCTTTGAGATGTTTAAAAACCCTTATAATAGCACATCTTCAACTTCATAAAAAACACTTTTTCCCATATCAAAAGGTTAATAATAGAAATGACTATAGTAAGCAAGCTAGCCAACTTTAGCCAGTTAGCTTGGGTGCTTGGTTGGGACAAGCATGCATTGGCAGGCAAGCTGCAGAAGGATGAGTAGGCTACAATTCCCCATCGTTTATCAGTGCAATTTTGACTGCCAACTAGCTGAAAAAGTTTGAGAGGGTTTATCTAATGTTCCTTCGTTAGATTTTAGCTCATCATACTCTGGCTAGCATTAGTTGTTGATCTTGTTGTTGTTGATGTGCATAAGAGATAGCCTACCTTTTCATGGTTGTTTGATCAATAGGACTGTAAAGTTCCCAAATGTAAGAGGACTCCTGTGGTATATACATATTTGCAGAAATCAATTCAGGTATATTTTGTGACTTTTGGCGAATGCGTTCTAATGATCTAAAGTCACGCTGTTACTACTGCCTGTAAACACACAGTCCAGTTTAAAGTGAATTATGGCTGGCCCGAGTGGCAAATGGCTTGTCTGCATAAAGGCCTACTGTAGCTCTGGTTGGCTATGGCACACCAGTCTGCATAGACTCCAGTCCTGGATGAGACAGATGTTTTTATTAGGTTTTATTTACTGCAGTATCTATTAATTGTCCAAACTCACGGCTGCTTTCCCACTATATATTGCTATAGAATTTTCACAAATGCCTTAGTATATGTAAATCCCAAACATTCTAAGAATTAGGAAAATTTGAAAATGACCATGTCTAAGTGTGCACTTGTCAGAAAATGTAGTGTCATAATCTTCCTGGGGGTGTATATGAACAGACTTTATTAAGATTTCATGTTGCTAAAATGCTGTCAGTTCCACTTTAAAATATCAAAGGGATGCAAAAGGAACTCATTTCGTGGAACGACCTCAGTCCCAACTCCCGAGACCCCAGCAAATATCGGCTTTTAATTTATCTAACTTTCATTTATCTGCATGCCCTTATATTTAGCCTCACAATTAAGTGTTTTACCATTTTATTTTCAGGACATCCAGGGCTACAAGTAGAACACAAACAATTTGACATGAATAGTTGCATTCATGAGCTTTATTGGCAAATGTATTTATGAATTATATGAATACTGTAAGTACAGAAATTGTTTGCTCACTGGGAAATTAATATCCAGCTAGTCAGTGAATTACTGTGTGGAGTTCGGAGTTTGAGACAGCAACTATGTGAGCTTATTACAGTATTATAGATACTATGTCCTGGGATGTCCTTTGATCTGCTATGTAGAAGAACCCCTTAGCTTCTAATGCCTCTTGTGTAGCTTGTGAGCCACTTCGGGGATCTGCCCTTGTCTCACAAACAATACTCTAGCTCAGCCCCCATTACTGACACAGACTAGTATCTGATATCTATGGATGCAGAAGAAATAGACAAATCCAATGGTACAACCCATAAGTCTGTCGCTCAAACACATAATGTTTAAAAGGGGTTAGAAGTCGGTGAGACTCATTGGGTTAAACTCCTGTTACAAAGTATTTTTGTGTGGGGTGTAGCCTAGCATGCAGCCTAGCCTGGGTAGGTGCTGATTGTGCAGGATCAGGACCATGGACAGTGCTCTGTGCTGTTTCCCCTGCTGGGATGTGTGGCCTGGCTTTAATAATACATAATAATAGCAGTGGAACACAGAGTCCCTGATTTAGCTGCATGCTGCCTGCCTGCGTTGCAGTTATGTCACATTAATTTATTTATTCAAGTGCACTTCTCAGATAAGATCAGGCTTGAGTGATGATATGTGATATGTTTGCAAGCAGGCAATCACAGAATGTGGGAGAGCCTTCAGTGCACTTTATCAGTAATGGAAAAAACCTCCCAATGTGCCTGTGAAATACTTAAATCAGATCAAACATTTCATCTGAAGTCCTAATGATTCCCACCAGCTCACCAAATCGTCTCCTTTTTCTTTCTGCTATGACTCTTTCTGCAGTACAGTGCCTTAGTTCTGTTTTACTCCCACCAGCAGGATACGGACCACAGCCCGCATCTGCTCTCCACGATGAAACATTGATAGCCTTATAATATCTGCAGGGCCTTTTTGGGCAGCTAGCAATATTTCAAGTAATTATTTTAATCTGACACTCTTTCAGCGATTTTTTTTATATTATCATGAGGCTATACTGTACTCTAGCTATGTACTGTATACTATGTCTTCCTGTGTTGGACTAAGACATTCTTAGGTGGAGTTTATGGCCCTTCAGGGACTGAGGCTGGATCTCAATCTATAAAGATCATGCCCTTGTCCTATTACTCTAGGAAACGTAATGACAAAATCCATATAATCCAACAAAAGCAGCATTTAAGGCTCCAACTCTCAAGAGGCTCAGATTGATGTTTATTTATGTTATTGATTGGTTAAAGGGATTGGTATGGAAGCAGAAGAGCTGTGTTTAGACTCCACTTGTCTTTCTATATTTGTCACAATGTTTAATTATTTTGCTCTGGGACACATGGATGGCCATGGATTATCAGTGAGTGGGCGTTCGTTAAACCCTGTGGTTTCCTCTGTGTTTGTTAAAGAGTTATTTCCCTCCTGGACACACACAAGGATGTCCAGACCTGTCATTGAGTCGGCAGTCGTTTGACCCGACAGGTTCTCATATTGTTTGTTAGAGCAGGGCTGAACTCACAAATGAGATCTGTTAGGATTACAGAGTATTGTCGCCATCTAACATTTCGAGCTGTTTTAGGGGGGTTTATAGGGGATGAACCATGCTCCGACTCCACTGGCACTAGCTGAAACTCTGATGTCTGAAGATGATATGAGTGTGCTTGAGAAAGCTTTGAGTTTAGCTGAACCTATGCATGACCACAATTTCTCGCCCGACAGCACATCCTCCTCAGATCCCCGAAGTTTCTCTGTGTGTGTGTTCTGTCTCCTTCAGATGACTTCCCTCTCTGTCTCTCCTGAGATAAGACTAGTGTTCTGAGTGAGTTTACGCTCTGCTGCTCTATTCCCTATGCAACAGTCTGGGATCTGACAGGACAGTCACGCACAAAGACTACTGGGTCACCAGTCACAACTAACACACAGCTAACATACACACACACACACTAGCGGCCCTAGCTGCCGCGAGGCCATACGCACAGCACGTAGTCTGAGAGTAGGAAGAGGCGGCTCTGGTAGTGAATGAATGCCGAGTGAAAAGACTTGTTTCCCAGCATGTGGTGCATCTACCATAAGAGCAGACTCATGCACACAAGTGCACACCCAATCCTGCACACACGTGCACACACGTGTGCTCTAGTGCACACATACACACACGAATGCATGCAGACACACACACACACACACACACACACACATTAGGAGGTATTATCCTACTTGAGTGGAGTGTGTTTATATTAATGTTTGTGAAAGTATGTGTGTGACCCTTAACCCTAAACCGCTGTTCTCTGTCTCCTCAGCAAGTGGTCTCTGCCATCAGAGCGGGTGTCAACCCGACAGCAAACTCATCCAATCAGACAAGTTTGTGGGACCTAAGCTCCTCCTTTTTCTTCGCTGGCACCGTCATAACCACTATTGGTGAGTCTGCTCACTAATCAGTACTCTCTGATCCATAATCAACCATTAGCCAGACTAATCAATGCTATGTCAATGCTGTGTACATTTTTCCACTGGTAACTTTCAGCCAGGCCGTAAAAGCAGTGGTACTTTATTTATAAAGAAGAGAAGAACCAATTGGTTATTAAAGAAAATCTATCAGGATAATCAAATCAAATGAAATTGTATTGGTCGCATACAAATATTTAGCAGATGTTATTGCGGGTATAGCTAAATGTTTGTGTTCCTAGCTCCAACATTGCAGTAATAACTAACAATACACAAGAATACACACAAAGAAATATAGAACTATTAGGACGAGCAATGTCAGAGTCCGGAGTATGTGTGTATCTATACAATACCAGTCAAAAGTTTGGACACACCTACTCATTCAAGGGTTTTTCTATATTTTTACTATTTTCTACATTGTAGAATAATAGTGAAGACATCAAAACTATGAAATAACACATATGGAATCATTTAGTAACCAAGTGTTAAACAAATCAAAATATATTTAAGATTTTAGATTCTTCAAAGTAGCCACCCTTTGCCTTGATGACAGCTTTGCACACTCTTGGAATTTTCTCAACCAGCTTCAGGAGGAATGCTTTTCCAACAGTCTTGAAGGAGTTCCCACATATGCTGAGCACTTGTTGGCTGCTTTTCCTTCACTCTGCGGTCCAACTCATCCCAAACCATCTCAATTGGGTTGAGGTCGAGTGATTGTGGAGGCCTGGTCATCTGATGCAGCACTCCATCACTCTCCTTGGTCAAATAGCCCTTACACAGCCTGGAAGTGTGTTTTGGGTCATTGTCCTGTTGAAAAACAATTGATAGTCCCACTAAGCGCAAACCAGATGGGATGGCGAATCGTTGCAGAATGCTGTGGTAGCCATGCTGGTTAAGTGTGCCTTGAATTCTAAATAAATCACTGACAGTGTCACCAGCAAAGTCCCCCACACCATCACACCTCCTCCTCCATGCTTCACGGTGGGAACCACACATGAGGAGATAATCCTTTCACCTACTCTGCGTCTCACAAAGACACAGAGGTTGGAACCAAAAATCTCAAATTTGGGTTAATCAGAACAAAGGACAGATTTCAACCGGTTTAATGTCCATTGCTCGTGTTTCTTGGACCAAGCAAGTCTCTTCTTCATATTGGTGTCCTTTAGTAGTGGTTTCTTTGCAGCAATTCGACCATGAAGGCCTGATTCACACAGTCTCCTCTGAACAGTTGATGTAGAGATGTGTCTGTTACTTGAACTGCAATCTGAGGCTGGTAACTATAATGAACTTATCCTCTGCAGCAGAGGTAACTCTGGGTCTTCCTTTCCTGTGGCGGTCCTCATGAGAGCCAGTTTCATCATAGCGCTTGATGGTTTTTGCGACTGCACTTGAAAAAACTGTAAAAGTTCTTGAAATGTTCCGTATTGACTGACCTTCATGTCTTAAAGTAATGATGGACTGTCGTTTCTCTTTGCTTATTTGAGCTGTCTTGCCATAATATAGACTTGGTCTTTTACCAAATAGGGCTATCTTCTGTATACCACCCCTACCTTGTCACAACACAACTGATTGGCTCAAATGCATTAAGAAGGAAAGAAATTACACAATTTAACTTTTAATTGAAATGCATTCCAGGTGACTACCTCATGAAGCTGGTTGAGAGAATGCCAAGAATGTGCAATGCTGTCATCAAGGAAAAGTTTGGCTACTTTGAAGAATCTCAAATATAAAATATATTTTGATTTGTTTAACACTTTTTTGGTTACTACATGATTCCATATGTGTTATTTCATAGTTTTTATGTCTTCACTATTATTCTACAATGTAGAAAATAGTAAAAACAAAGAAAAACCCTGAAATGAGTAGGTGTGTCCAAACTTTTGACTGGTACTGTATATATATACAGTGGGGAAAAAAAGTATTTAGTCAGCCACCAATTGTGCAAGTTCTCCCACTTAAAAAGATGAGAGAGGCCTGTAATTTTCATCATAGGTACACGTCAACTATGACAGACAAATTGAGATAAAAAAATTCCAGAAAATCACATTGTGGGATTTTTAATGAATTTATTTGCAAATTATGGTGGAAAATAAGTATTTGGTCAACAACAAAAGTTTCTGGCTCTCACAGACTTGTAACTTCTTCTTTAAGAGGCTCCTCTGTCCTCCACTCGTTACCTGTATTAATGGCACCTGTTTGAACTTGTTATCAGTATAAAAGACACCTGTCCACAACCTCAAACAGTCACACTCCAAACTCCACTATGGCCAAGACCAAAGAGCTGTCAAAGGACACCAGAAACAAAATTGTAGACCTGCACCAGGCTGGGAAGACTGAATCTGCAATAGGTAAGCAGCTTGGTTTGAAGAAATCAACTGTGGGAGCAATTATTAGGAAATGGAAGACATACAAGACCACTGATAATCTCCCTCGATCTGGGGCTCCACGCAAGATCTCACCCCGTGGGGTCAAAATGATCACAAGAACAGTGAGCAAAAATCCCAGAACCACACGGGGGGACCTAGTGAATGACCTGCAGAGAGCTGGGACCAAAGTAACAAAGCCTACCATCAGTAACACACTACACCGCCAGGGACTCAAATCCTGCAGTGCAAGGCGTGTCCCCCTGCTTAAGCCAGTACATGTCCAGGCTCGTCTGAAGTTTGCTAGAGTGGATTGGGATGATCCAGAAGAGGATTGGGAGAATGTCATATGGTCAGATGAAACCAAAATATAACTTTTTGGTAAAAACTCAACTCGTCGTGTTTGGAGGACAAAGAATGCTGAGTTACATCCAAAGAACACCATACCTACTGTGAAGCATGTGGGTGGAAACATCATGCTTTGGGGGTGTTTTTCTGCAAAGGGACCAGGACGACTGATCCGTGTAAAGGAAAGAATGAATGGGGCCATGTATCGTGAGATTTTGAGTGAAAACCTCCTTCCATCAGCAAGGGCATTGAAGATGAAACGTGGCTGGGTCTTTCAGCATGACAATGATCCCAAACACACCGCCCGGGCAACGAAGGAGTGGCTTCGTAAGAAGCATTTCAAGGTCCTGGAGTGGCCTAGCCAGTCTCCAGATCTCAACCCCATAGAAAATCTTTGGAGGGAGTTGAAAGTTAGTGTTGCCCAACGACAGCCCCAAAACATCACTGCTCTAGAGGAGATCTGCATGGAGGAATGGGTCAAAATACCAGCAACAGTGTGTGAAAACCTTGTGAAGACTTACAGAAAACGTTTGACCTGTGTCATTGCCAAAAAAGGGTATACAGTAATCCCTCGTTTATCGCGGGGGTTACGTTCCGAAAATGACCCGCGATAAGTGAAATCCGCGAAATAGAAAACTTTTTTTTTTTACAATTAGCAACTATTACATGTATACAAATACAGTGACTCACGTGTAGGCCGTTTCACTGCTCTTCAGACTGGGCCGCTGCATCCTGACTGCGCTCTGCAGTGTTCTCTTCTTCTGAAGCCCGCGGTGCAGGTGTGTTTGTTCGGGAGAAGAACATAGTGATAGGCAGCTGTTGTCGCTCTTTTTTCTTCTTTGCAAAAAGATCCTTGTACACCGACATGCCACCATCGATTACGTTGGAGAACTGTAATGAACGGCTCATCAAAGGGTCCCATTCCTCAGCTACTCGCTTAAGTTCAGTGGCCATTCGCACCATGGTTGCTAAGCGACCAAGCGTTAGTCCTTCCTCCTCATTGACTGCTGCTGTCGTCCTTATGTTTTTTTCCTCCTTCTTTATGTAACGAACGGAAGATTCATTGATTCCGTAATGGCGAGCAACGGCTGCATAGCTTTTACCTTCCCTTAGCATGTCCAGAAGTTTAACTTTATCTGAGATAGGTAGCATCTTCCGCCGTTTGGGCCCATCCGCAGGTGCTTTTGTCGGTCCAGGCCGTTTCGTCGACATTATGGGTTTAGGAGATGTTCGAAATTACAAGATAATTTGGCCAACTTAATGTAAATTTGCCAAGCTGTTTTATGTACGTACACATAACTGCACGAGACGACAAAATGATAGCACAATTCGTAGCATGTTTTGATACAAGAAGCGGGAGTGAGTTTTTAGCGAATCAGAATGCAGAGCACAATGCACCAAAAAAAAAAAAATGCATTATGAAAATCCGCGAAATAGCGAATCCGCGATAAGTGAACCGCGAAGTGGCGAGGGATCACTGTATAACAAAGTATTGAGAAACGTTTGTTATTGACCAAATACTTATTTTCCACCATCATTTGCAAATAAATTCATTAAAAATCCTACAATGTGATTTTCTGGAGAAAAAAAAATCTCATTTTGTCTGTCATAGTTGACGTGTACCTATGATGAAAATTACAGGCCTCTCTCATCTTTTTAAGTGGGAGAACTTGCACAATTGGTGGCTGACTAAATACTTTTTTTCCCCACTGTATAATATAAGATATTATATATACAATAAATATACAAAAGTATTTGGACACCATTCAAATTAGTGGATTCGGCTATTTCAGCCACACCTGCTGCTGACAGGTGTATAAAACCGAGCGCACAGCCATGAAATCTACGTAGACAAACATTCGCAGTAGAATGGCCTTACTGAAAACATCAGTGACTTTCAACGTGGCATAGGATGCCACCTTTTCAACATGTCATTTCGTCAAATTTTTGCCCTGCTAGAGCTGCCCTGGTCAACTGTAAGTGCTGTTATTGTGAAGTGGAAACGTCTAGGAGCAACAACAGCTCAGCCTTTAAGTGGTAGGCCACACAAGCTCACAGAACGGGACCACAGAGTGCTGAAGCGGGTAAAAATGGTCTGTCCTCGGTTGCAACACTCACACCCGAGTTCCAAACTGCCTCTGGAAGCAACGTCAGCACAATAACTGTTCGTCGGGAGCTTCATGAAATGGGTTTCCATGGCCGAGCAGCTGCACACAAGCCTAAGATCACCATGCGCAATGCCAAGCATCGGTTGAAGTGGTATAAAGCTCACCACCATT